CAATAAAACTATGAATACTGGTTTTAACTCGAATTGAATCTTGTCTGACAACTTCGCCTACGAGTGAGATCAGTCGGTTTATTAATATTCATTATAACTGTGGCAATGATTCAAAGGGAATCTTTCAATCATTGTTCTAAAATACAGAAACATTAAGAATGCAAGAAAGTTTTGATATACGTTGTTCAAATTTCTTAGAGGATGAATTGTCACGTTTATTCATTTTTGACTTGTATTTAATTTATCCTATTTTTTTTCTTTTTAATCAGTTCGCCCCAGGCAAGGCGATGAAGACACTAAGACGAACTGGGCTACTAGAATTAAAAGAGAATGAAAAAATAGAACGTTAGAAAGAACCGGAAACCTAATACTAAACAGGAAGCAAGTGATAAACCTCTACTCTTATCTTGTTTTTTTTTTTATTGCTTACAAGCTTAAAAGCCACCCAGTCGATAGGCATCAATAAACTACAGAAGAGTTCAAAATTGGTCGCTGCATTTAAGTATTGAATTAATGTTTAAGCTTACCTTTTAAAAGTTCAACGATAATTCTTCTGCTGACACTTAATTTAAAGACGATTTGATTGTACATGATTCTTATTTTCCCTACAAACGATTATATTTTATTTCATGGATGACAGAACAGGGGAAAATTTATAAGATAAAATTAATATAATCTAAAGATGGGAAAATAAAAATTAAAATTAGTTATACATTCAACATTTGAAGGGTTAGAGAAATATAAGAGCTAATTAAGTAAAACCTATATTATGGAATCTAATATATTAATATATATTTTTAACCTCACATAATCTGGCAACCCTGAATCTGAGCTCAATGAAAATCTGTTCCCTACGCTTAACTTTTCTAGGGCTTTTGAATGAGCCATGAATCATTGAAATTGAACCAGTGGGAGCAGAGGAGTTGCTTGGACACACGCACACACGCAGAAACACACACACATACACTGTACTTTATATATAAGATTAAGCGTAACAGCTGTAAGAAGACGTGGTTGTCTTGCATGGATTTCTTGGATAACGTATTGTTATTATTATTAATTTTTGACTCATTTTTCTGTCATCTTCTTTACACCTTTAAATGCTCTTCTCCAGAAGGATGTTGAGGATACCATGGATCTGGGAGCAACGGCGAAGTTTTAGAGAATGTGGAAACAAAAAGTTAACATCAGGAAGAGACAATTGATATTTCTAGAGCACAAAATGAGGAAAGAGGATTTGAAAAATCTGATACTCACAGGACAGATTGACAGCAAGAGGTTAAAAACGCATAACCTACTTAGTGAACTTGAGCAAATTAATGGCGGAACAAGGTTTAGGAGAGATAAAAAATACAAAATTTATTAAGAGCTACAAAGAACAGGAAATTGTGGAGAGCCATGATCGCCTACGTCCTGAAGAGATACGGTACATAGAAGTAGTTCATATTAATAAGAAATAACGTCGGATTAAAAAGTATTAATTGATGATCAAATATAAAAATGTATGTTTCATTTGTTTTTTTTTTCAAAAATTAATTATTAATTAAAGAAAATATTTGACAGTGCCTACAAAAACATCTGTTTCATTTCTTTGATTTAGTAATATATATTTTTTCAGAAACTTAATAATATATAATTTTTCAAGTATGCACAAAGGACATAGGTCATTTAATTGCCTACAAGCTCCAGCTTTTCTTAATATTTTATATTTGAATATTAATTAGTAATTAAATTCTAATATATTCAGTTGTAAAAATACCATATAGTCTATTAGTTATTAGTAGGCATTGAAAACGCGGACGACTCGCTGAATAACGGAAGTATACGTTTATTAGCAGGCACCCCCACCCCACCTAAACTTAACCAGACTTTGTAAGCAACATATACTGGATACATAAGCTGTCTATGAAATTAAAATCCAACCACCTTTACCTTAATAGCTCATAATACCAATATTGTGTGCGCTTATAAATTAAGTAAATGTCTTATTTCTAGCATCGCTTAAAAAAGGAACGAGACTATGGATTTTAAGTTTAATTTTTATAATTAACTATAGTTTCAGTTTTGAAACATGGAAATTTCTGTGTCGCAATGGAATGATATTTTTAAGAAGAAAATAAGTATAATATATATATATATATATATATATATATATATATATATATATATATGATAAAAATAGTGTTTTAAGTTATACTTATGAGTAAATGTGCTCAAAATGAAGGATAGAACGTAAGTTCACTTATATGTACGTACATAAAACACATACACACACAAACACACATACATACATACATATATATATATATATATATATATATATATAGATAGATAGAGAGAGAGAGAGAGAGATAGAGAGAGAGAGGGAGGGAGGAGACACGGTGGAGTAATGGATAGCGGCTTGGATTGAGGAATCTCAGAGCCGAGTTCAAATTCCAGTCGAATCCATTACATTAACTTACGTGCTAATACCCTTGGGAAAGGTGTGTATCCTCTTCCTCTCCCTCCAGCTATGGGTAAAATAGCAGGGCAGACTGGGTTCTATAGCCTTGGATGGCAACTGGTCAAGGAGAAGGACAACTCTGAATTCAAAACCTGCGGAGGGTCGTTTGGGAACCTTGTGGCATTCGGTGCACCAGGTCTCTGTATTCGTCCCTTCAAAAAGTGTGGATGGTCCTGCACGAAGCCTTCACCGCTATAATCAATTCTCATGTGCCGGTGTCGGGCTGTCGGTTTCCTGGAAACTGATCTGTTTGACTCTCATACGTCGAATCTCGACGGGAGAGTTGATTATATATATATATATATATATATATATATATATATATATATATATATATATATATATATATATAAATTAACTGTGTTTTTGCTGAGCTCCGACGTTCACTATCACTTGCGACGTTGTCATTTTCTTTTCATCATTTTTATATTTAAGCGATGATAGAACATTATATGCACATTTGTGTTTATAAATGTTTGTTTGCGATGGGCAATGCCAAATGTTCTTAACTGTTTCTTCTCCGGGGCCTCTTACTGGTCTGATGTCTCTATAGTAAAATAATCTGTCTATATTTCTGAGATGAGGCATTATGTACACTATTTACATCATTCGGACTACTACTAAGAAGTCCGGAGCGTACAACGGCCGAAACGTTGTAATAATTATGGTGACAAAGATGAGGACAATAGTCCGAATAATATAAATAGTGTATATTAAAATTACTCTAGAAAAATTGAATTTACTGGATTATGCTCTATACATTGGGGTTAAATTTTTTATTAGGTCTAAAATGTAAATATATAGCCAAAACAGCTAAGACCCACCATGTTTCGTTTGCAAAGTCATCCTAATTCTATCATCATTCCAATTGTAAGAAGGATGTTCCACTCAAATAGCTTCTTTTTTCCTCCTAGAATCGCTACTCTACGGAACAGTCTCCTGCACGTCTACTTCCGTGAACACGTCAATCTTCGCTTCACCATGTCGACAGACAAGCCTTGCCTAGTCTCCATATCTTTATAATCTTCACTTTCTACATCTTCTTCTTGTATTCATATCGCACTCTTCATTAAGAAATCTCGGCCTCTACATATCAACTGTCAGTCCTTATCTATCCTCCTTATCCTACCTTCTCACGTTCTCCTCTCATATTCATATCACACTCCTAATTAAGTAATCTGGGCCGCTGCATGTCAAGGGTCAATTGTTATCTATCCTCCTTATCCTCATAATCTTAATTTCCTACATGCACCTCTTCTATTCATATCACACTCCTCATTAAGAAATCCTGATCACTACATGCCAAGGCTAAAACGTTATCTATGATGCTTATCCTCATAATTTTTACTTCCTTAGTAACTCTCTACTTTGAGCGGCTCTTGAGACTTGAATTGAGTGAACATTAAATGAAAATGAGAAATGTGTTTGTAAAGTATTGTGATATGTCGTAATTAGGGTTCCACGGTTTAGATCATTTGAATGTCCGGTTAAAATTTTAGTGACCCCGCCTCATAATCTACAGAACACCTGATGCCCTTTCTTGAGAGTTCATACCCACCCCAGTAGACATTATCGCTTCCATTACTGGTCTTTGGTTATTTTTTTTTTAATTCGTGTGTCTTTGTTAATTTCTTAATTAAAATGCTAACAATGGTCGTTGATTTTTATTTTGCTTATTTTATAACCTTTATGGTCGTTTTGTGTTAAAACTATCAAAAAAAAAGGATTTATGGTGAGGAAAATTATTTTTTTTATTTCTAGCGTTCATCCTGTTTTGCCTTAGTAAAAAAAATCAGATTTAAATGCATATTGTATGTTTAGAATTTTAAGCAAGGCGCGTTTCCAGTGTTTCTATGAAATCTTTCTACTTCACAAATTGGTTATTTGTTAAACGAATTATTTTTCCCTTAACAAAAATGCAAAACAAATGATATCTAAAAAAATAATGACATTTAATTAATGATCTAAAAGTGTCTAGGCAAAAAAAAAATGTTTTTTGAAGGCAAGATATAAACAAAAAAAATCAGCAGTATAATTAACTAAAGAATAATTAACATTAACAATTTCTGGCTTTCATTTTCTCTCCATTTGAGTAACAATCAAATATTGTGAGAAAGTCAAGAAAAAAAAACCTTGCTTAAAAGAAGATGCAGGGAGTAACGCAGTAAAATGTCTTTTGTCGGAATGGAGTTACTTTGGCCGTTGCATTAGGATCTTTCATTTGGTGTTTGATGTCATAAAAACCCCCCAGGCATAGGCTCTTTTATTTTCCAAGTGCAAGGCCTTCAGCAGGTTCGACAATTTTTTTTTTTATCGACCTCAATCAACAGCAATCAACGGAGAGCCAATTACTTCGTATATACGCCTGCAGAAGTTGTTATGTGACGAATATGGCTTTATAGAATCGGGTTGAGTGCAAAAATGATACCTGTGCTTCGTGCTTCAATTGCACCTTAACCTCTCCTGTCGTTTGCCGGTGTTTACAGAGCTGCACGCCATGTGCGGCTTCTTCGTTTCCGCCCAGGGTCAAGCGAGGATTGGCCCTGCAGGGTACTCCGTTGGCAGATGGAAGCGACTTTTTTTGAAAATGCTTTTCAAGGCTTGTAACGCTTTACACGGCTGTTAGATATAACGATGACAGCTAAGAATTTTAACGACAAAGTATTAATATGCTAGCAAAGTTATTTTTAAAGAGGAAAAAGAAATTTAAAAAAAATCGTACTACTCATAGATTAGGTAAAAAAGTATTCTTTCCTTCAGTCGCCTTCTCTTTCCCTTTCACTCTATCTTTCTCACTCTCTATTTGTCTCCATTTCTCTCGCTCTCTTTTTTTTTAATTCTTCTTTGCTTTCTCGATTTTTCTCTATTTTTTCCATTTGTTTTACTATCATTGATTTTTCTTTCTCTCAGATTACTTCTCTCTCTATCGAAATTATTTCACTGTTTCCATCTTTTACTCCCCCTCATTTACTCGACCTTCTCACTCCCTACCTATCTCTATATCTATATCGATCTCTCCCTCTCTCTTCATTTCTTTTTCTCTCCTTCTTTTCTTTTTCTATCCCTCTCCTACTACCTTGTTAAACAATCTTTATTCTTATTCATAAAGAATACGTTCACGCTGTTATTTCTTTCTTCTCTCTTCTTTTTCCCTCTCTCCTTCGCGCATTCTCTCTTTCCTCTCGTCTCTTTATCGCTCTCTCTCCCCCTCTCTTTCTCTCTCTCTCTCTCTCGTTCTATCATCCTCTCAATCGATATTGTTTTCTGATAGTTCTGCTTTTAACTTTCTCCGTCCCCCTCTCTCTCTCTCTTTCCATCGCTTCGTACTCCTTCCTTCCTTCTCTCGCTTTCATTCTTTATCTCCTACTCTCCCCTCTCTCTCTCTCTCTCTAATTGTTCTTCTAACATCTCTATTTCTCACTTTCTCTCTCGCTTCCACTTTCCCCTTCCTTCCTTCCTTCCTTCCTTCCTTCCTTCCTTCCTTCCTTCCTTCCTTCCTTCTTTCTTTGACTGTTTTTCATTTCAATCAACTTCTCACTCTTTCTACATTTTCTTTTTCTTTAAAGATTCTTCAATTCTTTTTTCTTTAACTTCTCTATTTCTCTCTCCCTTCCTCTCCCACGATCGCTCCCTACATCTTTCTCTTTCTTTCCTTCTCTCGTTTTCATTCCCTATCTCTTGCTTCTTCTCTTTCTACATTTTCTATTCTTTAAGTGATCTTTTTTTTGTCTTAAAAATGCTTTCCTTCGTATTATTTCTTCTATCTTCATTATTTCTCACTTTCTTCCTTTATCACGATCGCTCCCTACGTCTTTCTCCTTCCTTCCTTCCTTCCTTCCTTCCTTCCTTCCTTCCTTCCTTCCTTCCTTCCTTTTTTGAGCCTTTCTTCTTGCTCTCTATCATTCCCTATATTTCTCTCTCACTCCTTTCATATTTTCTCTCTTTCCTTCCGTCTCTTTATCACTCATCCTTAACTCTCCCCCCCTCTCTCTCTCTTTCGTTCTAGCATCCTCTACATCGATATTGTTTTCTAATAGTTCTGCTTCCAACTTTCTTTCTTACCGTTCCTCCTCACTATATCGCTTCCTTCCTTCTCTCTCATTTCTTGTCTCCTTCTCTCTCTCTCTTTCTACATTTTTTTCTTTAAATGATCTTTTTTCCTTAAAGATTTTTCATTCGTAATTTTTTACCTATAACTTCTCTTTTCCTCACTTTCTCTCTCCCTTCCTCTGTCACTATTGCTCCCTACCTCTTTCTCCTTCCTTCTTTCATTCCTTCCTTTTTGTTCTCATTCTCTCTCTCTTTTTCTCTCTCATTCGCTCGTTCCTCTCTCCTTTCATATGTTCTTTTCTTTCAATCATTTTCTTCCAATCGAAACTAATTTTATGATAGCAGTCTCTCGCTTTTTTCTCTCCTCATCCTCTCACCATATGTTTTCCTTTCCTCCCACTTTATCTTTACATTCGTCTCTTTCTTTGAATATGGAGGAAGGGTCCTTCCTATTCCCCCTCTCTCTCACGCACTCTCTCTCACTCACTCTCTCTCTCACTCACTCTCTCTCTCACTCTCTCTCTCTCATTCATTTACCTTTCTTTCCATATATCATTTTATTTTAAATCATGTTTTACTTTCTTAAAGAGCTCTTTCCCTCTCACTACTATTTCTCTATTTCCTTCTCTCTTATTTCTCTATCCGACCTTCCTACCTTCATTCACACCATTCCTCTCTCTCTCTCTTTCTTCTCTCCCTCACTAGCATTCCCTACTTTTCTCTCCCTCCCCTTCCATTTACTTTCTTTATGTCACTGTTCTTGTTTCTCAACGAATATATCCCTCTCTCTTTTTCCCTCTAATCCATCCCACCTTCTCTCTACCATCCTGTCTTTTTCACTACGATTCACCTTCTCCCTCTCCTCTCTTTCCTTCCTGTTTTTTTTTTATTCCTAGACTCCCTCTCTCTCTCTCTCTCTTTACATAGATTATATTCTTCAATTCCTCGCTTCTTTTTCTTAGAGAGTATTTCTCTCTCTCTATCAAAACTATTGTCCTGATATGTGCCTCTCTCTCTCTCTCTCTCTCTCTCTCTCTCTCTTTCACATTATTTATCTCACACCTTACTTGCTCTCCCCTCTCTCTTAATCCCTACCTTCCTTTCACTTCTTTTTCAAATATCTTTCTCTTTTAGCTAAATCATTTCCTCCATTTTCTCTTTTTCTTTTCAAATATATTCCTTCTTCTATGCTCTATCTTTACAGGTTTATGGCTATATCACATTGAAACACCGGTTCTCGTCCAATCACTGAAGTTAAGCAACGTTGAACCTGATCAGTAACTAAGTGGGTGGTGTTGCGGAATACCAGGTGCTACAAGCTTGGACGTGCGGTGGTGTTATCGATATTAGAAATCAGAGGGCCGAATTCGAATTCCAGTCAGGTTCATTATATACACTTTAGAATGGTATAAATCCACCTCTTTTCTTCTCAGCTATGGATTAAATAGTAGAACTTGTATCAGAAAGTCATTATTAGTTCCAAAAAATTCTTACAATCCAAAAATATGTTTTGGTTTTAAATAATCTCTATCTCTATTTCCATGGCAAATGTTCTGACGAGCTCTATTTATGAGCTTCTCCATGTCTGACAGTCACATTTAAGACCAGCCATGCTACGTACAGTGATACGAATTACACCTCTTTTCTTTATGTATTAAAAAAAATGCTCCTTTGGGCAAGGTTTTTCCAAGAATATTATCTTTGTGGAAGAAACTCCCGAGATGATGTTTCCCCGATCACTAAAATATTAATGTCTTCAGACCAAGGTTTAACCATTCATTTTTCGTTCATATCATCATGATCTGCGCTTCATTCACTAACCTTCTACTTGAGTAACTCTTGCGCCTTGTATTGGGGGAACAACTACCCTATCCTCTCTTGTCTCTCTTGATAGAGTTCAAATGCTTCTATGCAGACTTGGGTGATTAATTCTTCTTCACCCTACAACCACTTTCCCGGAGATGAAACATTGTAAACCTCTAGCAGGTCTATCGCTATTTTCATGCATGAGCCACATTCCTTAGACCCACCACTCCTGAAATTTGCAAATGGGACCCGCCCTGTCATGTAAACCATAGTGAATCATCCCCTATTCCCTTCATATTCAAATAGTAAGAAGTAACTTCTATTCGGACAGTGGTTTCTTAAGAACTGCTGCTTTGTAGAACAGACTCCAGACAGGAAGTTTAAATTACTTCAATATTCAAGTCCTTTCAAGTCTCGGCTTCATCTTTGTCTTTCCTGTATAATCTCACGCACTTCAAGTCACTTGCCTTTTCTGATGCTTATACAACACCACACATTAACCTTCTACCTTGAGTGGCTCCTTGGCCTTGTACTGGGTGAATATTAGTATTAAAAATAAGACACAATAAGTGATTTTATGTCCTTTCTGAACGTGGTCGATTATGGCTCTCCATATCTTCCTGTCCTTGATATCGCTAAGCAACATTTGTTCTTTTTCTATCCCTCCCATCCTCTGCTCTGCGATCTGTTTATACAAACTCATTAGGTAGATTATTCATTATTTCCTGCCACATCTCTTGTCTTCAATATGTCCTATGAGTGTTAAATTATCCAAGCCTTCTTTCCTTATTATGTGTCCTAATAATTTAAGATGGGTGTTAGCATCAGTTTCTTTAATGTTCCTCATTTCCTTAAAACTTCCTCATTGCTCAAATGTTCTGTCCATGTCATTCTCAGCATTCATTGATAGAATCATTTTTTGTTATTTCAACTCTCTTCTTCATCTGTGAGAAGACTGTTCAGCATTCACTAAACTATTCATCAAGTAATGTGGATTATGTTAATTAGTACAGTTCTTTGTTTCTGATTTAGTAGCGCCATTGCACAGGGTTTGAAGAAGGATGACCATTGCCAAAATAGTCAGGCTTCATTATTTTCTCTTTAAGTTACATATGCTATCCATTTTAGCTGTTGCTGCTGTTGAAAGTCCTCATGTGATGTGGTTTCTGTTATTTTAGTACAGTTCTTTGTTTCTGATTTGCACCATTCCACAAGATTCGAAGAAGGATTATCATTGCCAAGATCCATTGGATTCACTCACTCAAAGCCATTTTTAAGCATTGATCGTACAGAATTGATATTTTTCTATCTTAATACTTTGCTTATTTTTTGGAAAGCATCTTTAGAGTAGTTGTAATATTGTTCATAATTTGCAGATAAATTATTATTTGTTGATGAAGGTTTCTTTCATTTTAGCTTCACTTGTTTTTTTTATCATAAACACGTTATGATGTATTAATATCCTTATCTCTTAGTACTATTCTGAGACGACTTTGAATCTCAGCTTCACATATTTCATTGATGGTTAAATTCGTATATCTGCATGATTCTGACATTGTTATTGTAATTCTCACACATTTGCCTGTCTCATGTGCAAACAACTACAGATCATTTTCTTGCAGTTAACAGTTAGTCCTTTGTTCTTGCTTTCTTTAACTACTTTCATGAGTTCTTTCAGCTTCCCTCCTGTGGCAACTCACTGCTTCTCCTGTCTCCAATATGTCCTATTTGTGTTAAATTCTTCAAGCCTTCTTTCCTTATGTATCCTGGTAATTTAAGCTTGGTGTTAAGCTTGTTACTATTTTCCTTAAAACTTGTCATTGCTCAAATGTTCTGTCCATGTTATTCTCAGCGCTCATTGATAGAATCACTTTTGGTTATTTCAGCTCTCTTCTGCATCTGTGAGGAGACTATCCACTGATGTATAAAAGGATTGGTATTATGCAGTAGTCAATGAAATTCTACTATCATTAAATGCTTTATTGAATTTTTGGAAAACATCTTTCGCTATTCCATTGCACGTTCATATTTTTCATCAGCTGCTGCAACACTACGCAGTTGGTTCAAGTTTTGTACATGTTTTATTTTGAGTCCCCACGGATAAGAAAATATGATGCTTACATTACGATATATCAGAACAGTTGAGTAATTGAGTGACAAATTACAAAAAACATTCTATGTAACATGTTTCATCCTTTAAAGAGACTTCATCAGACTAATGCAATGTTTTTATTGATGGAATTATATATATGTACAGGGAACCAACAATGACAAAAACAAAAACAAAGGTGTTGAAAAGCCAAATGAGTTCAGTTGAGATGTAAATATAAACATGTCAGATGCTCAAAATCTTAAAATTGAAAATTTAACAAATATATAAAAACTTCCATTAATAATTACTACAGTTGAATTATCAGGTGTAACAGCAGAATTGTCCAAATTATGTAACAGCAAAATTGTCTAATTGTTAGATTAAGCTTTGAACCGTTGTATCTTAGAAATGATTAAAGATATCTTACTGGAATTCTCAAAGGTTTTTATAACACTATTGGACACTACTTTGAACAATAAAAATGTATTTAGCACTAAGTTGAAATGATAATTTCTCCTGCTGTTGTGACTTCCTGATCCAGTTTTCCTCTTTACTGTTCCCCCTTTTTTAAACTTATTCACTGTTCTCTTGATGGTTCGTGAATGGACTTTGAAGATGGAAACCAGTATATGATGATTTCTCTTGCAGTTGTGACTTCCTGATCTAATTCCATTGCATGTTTATATTTTTCATCATCTGTCAAAACACTACCCAGTTGGTTCAAGTTCTGTACACACTTTATTTTGAGTCGCTTATAAACAGAGAGAAGGATCCCAGCTTTTGAGAATAAATGCTTAAAATAATCCTTGACATCTTTTATTGGGAACATACAACAAATGAATTTGTGTTGAAAAAGGTTGAAATTTTTGTGGGCCACCAAGAACTTATTCTCACCACTGTCAAATAGAGAAAAATGGTGTGGTTTGGACATGTTACAAGGTATGACAGCCTGTGCAAGACGATCATGTAAGACATCATTGAAGGTGGATGTAGAAGAGGACGTCAACGCAAAAACTGGTTGGACAACGTCAAACTATGGACAGGTATGACTATAACAGATTTGTTGATGGCTGATGGCTGATAGACCATTGTAGAGGAGACTCAGTGTGGCTTCTGCCTTTGGATCCCCATATGATTACAAAAGTCAAGGGGAAGATGATGATGATGATGATGATAGAGGAGAATCTCTATCTATAAAAGGCAGGATGTATGTGTGTGTGTAATGAATGCCTGGCTGAAATTTTCAACGGATTTGCACCAAAATGTACATGCACATGCTCCAAGTATCATTTCCCAACTCCCATCGATAGTGAAAATAATCAATTTTTTCATGCTTCTACAGCAGTTTTCATGTAGTTTCCAGTTGTTTCCTACTGGCCAGAGTGAGAGCCAATAGCTGGCTGCCACCAATAGGCAAGAAGATTCTATTGGCCAGCGTGAGAGGCAACAGCTGACTGACACGAATGTTAACTAGCATGCAAAAAAAATTGATAGCTGCATTCATCACAAGTGGGAAAAATTTAAATCTGCATGGCACTTTACTCCAATTGGCTCATTTGCTTGCTTAAACTCAATGTTGATTCTGATTCCACAGAACTTGGTTGAGTGTGAAAAAGTATTTGTTGTTAACATTCTTTTTTCATTCAGTTTTTCCAGTTACACGTCCTTTTTTTAAAGCTGGTCGTTTTGTGTTCATTTTGTTTAGTTCTTTTTTCGTAACAGATTTAATGTTTAGTATAGAGCTTAGAAAAAATTTGCAGTGTGAGATAGGCAAGAAGTAAGGCATGTAGCAACATCAGCACGGCAAAGGGCACTCCTTTAAAGGCAAGGAAGGGCAAAAATATTTTAAGTCAAGTGATAGCGATTGCTGTATGAGTTGTACGATTTTTGAATCAAGCAATGCCGGGCAATACCGTGATAGTGCTAGCGATGTATAAATAATTGATATATCAAAACAGTATCAGGTAATTCACTACCCAGATGGTTAAATTCCTGAACCTACTTAATTCTGGCATTTCATGTGCTGACAACTATACATTATTTTCTTCTAGCTAATAGTTAGTCCTTTCTTCTTGCCTTCGTTGACTACCTTTACAAGTTCCTGCAATTTCCCTTCTATTTACTCACTGCTTTCTTCTGCTTCTCTTGTCTTCAATATATCCTGTAGGTTTTAAAATCTCTGGGCCTTCTTTCGTCATTATGTGTCCTAGAAATTTAAGCTTGGTGTTAGTATCAGTTTCTTCATCGTTACTATTTTCCTTAAAACTTCCTTATTGCTCACATGTTCTATCTATGGCATCCATTGGTAAAATCAATCTTCTGTTATTTCAACACTTCTTCATCTGTGAGGTGATTGTTCAGCATTCAATGGAAGATTAAATATTACATTGCAGTTCAGCACACTTTTCTTTGTTTTTAATG